AGCTTTGCGCGAAATTAAAAAACAAACAATGAATGTTTTAATCTTGTACAGTATTTTCTTTTTACTATTTTATTTTCATGTTAAAGTAGTCACAACATTTATAACTGGATGAGCAAAATTGGTGAAAATTAAAACCGATAAGCAGGGAGTATTTTCAATTAATAACTGACAACAAAAAGCAGAAAGAAAAAAAAACAGCCAAGACAGAATAAAATGACACGCCATATAAGGATATAATGTCTACAAAAAAAGGGCCATATTACATGGAGAATACAAAATAAAACAGCTAAGATAGAGTAAAAGGGACCAACCATATAAAAATTCAACATTTTACAAAATAAGAGCCATGTGCATGTAAAATATTGTGGTCAGATAATCACCTCCTCTTTGTCTTAAAAACAACTTTCTTCGGTAAAAATCTTTATTTTTATTTTACTTTCTTTCGTAAAATTTTTATCAACAGATCTTAATGATAAAAAAAACATTTAATTGATTTTGTATTATAATTACTTAAATCAAATTAATGTTTGCATTTCTATTTAAATAATTTATTGTAAAAAATTTAAGGCGCTTTTCAGTAGATGGCGCTGCAATCTGTTGAACCATATGATTACTAATTTTAAATTTACAGGGTACCGAAGCGAAAAAAACATGTTTCAGCAGTAGATATTAATTTCAATACACCTTAAGTCTTGAACCCATTTGCATTCCTTATTTGATATTAATATGTACACGTTGACGTGGTAATATGATATATAATATTTTGTTCACAATTTTTTGCTTTCTTGACAATAATAATAATTTTACCAATTTTCTGACCGATTATTTTTTTTTTATCTCTAATTGCTCCTTTGAATGTGGTAAAAAAAAGAGTTCAGATCTGTCAGAAACATAAGAATATTGGCATTACAGCATTTAGAACAGCTGTAACAATACCTTAGTTTTTAGGTAAAGTTTACACAATTCTGTATAATTCCATTAGTGTTTCTAGCTTGGCCGGAGTCACTACCATGACTAGATATTAAGCTCACTGGTCACAGTATAGTGCTACAAAGCTTAAGTTTTACTTGCTTGTCTGTTCTTAGAGCAAAGCCACATTAGGCTATCTTCTGTGTCCACCGCGGGGAATCCAACCCCAGATTTTAGCGTTGTAAGTCCATAAACTTACCGGTTAAAAGCTTAAGATGAAATATTAGGCGTATAGATGAAGATATATCAAAATCGTGGCGATTTTGGTCTCCTGTTTGTTATTTAACCATTTATGAAGATTCGACATGAAAAACAAGAAAGTCATACGTACAAACTTCAAAACTGATGATACTTGAAAGTAACTTGTTTAATTGTTCTGTCTCATGAGTACTGTGACTGTTGTAAACCTCCATCTATTAAATAACAATGATTAATTCTTTAAAAAATACACGAATATCTAAATGTCCTCTAGTGACAGCTAGAAATGGGAATGGCTGCTTGTTTAAATACTACACTCTTTATCTGATCATTAAAACTACATCACGAGCAATCTTTCATAATAGTTTGTAGAATGATTACGTTGAATGTGGGTAACCGTATGTTCTTATTCGTATAAAAAAACATGATACTTTTTATCTGAAAGGCAAAGAAAAATAATTCTAAGTATAACATAGAAATGTTCCTATGAAATGTCTTATGGCGCCAAAAGTTTTAATTAATTGGCCACTTTAATTTTATTTCATATGTTTTTCAGATATACGCAACGTTCCTAGCATCTAGTGGTAGGTTTTGTAACTAAAACTAAACATAACCACGGAGGTTGGCTGTTCGATTAATTTATAGCCCGTTTACAAACTAAAAATAATGCATTCAAATTTGCTTCCCCGTGGATCAGCTGTAAATCTGAGGGCTTATAATACTAAAAATTGGGTTTTGATACCCTCTGTGGGGAGAGTACAGATAGCCCATTGTGTAGTTTTGTGCTTAACAACAATAAATTAATAATAGCTAAGAAATCATTATAATACTATCAGACATATAACTGCATCTGTATGGAGCTATGGAAATATGTTCCATACAATATTGTTAATAAAATTATGTTAATAAGGAATTTGTGGATAAAAATGCTTTTGAGCACAAATATAGTAATTCTGATTCTCTAAATACATAAACACAGATTTATTGTGTCAGAATATATTGTTGTAACACTGTTTAAAATGTTTAATGTAACGATTCTCTGTTATTGAATCTTAACTAAACATTATACATTTTAATGCTGTGTTACCATTTGTTTAGTCCTCCCGGTAAGTCTTCGGATTTTACAACGCTAGAATCAAGGGTTCGATTCCCCTTCTTAGACACAGCAGATAGCCCAATGAGGCTTTGTTCTAAGAAAACACACACACACACACCATATGTTCCTCCAGCTAGTTGTTTTCTGTTATGTTTTCAGAGAAGTCGATCTAGGATGCGGATTCGAACCCGCGACCCTCAGATTGTGAGTCGAGCGCCTTATCCATCTGGCCATGCCAAGCCGGTTACGGTGAAATCCCACTGCTCGGTTAGACACAAGTAGTCCAAGAGTTGGTGATGGGTGCTTTCACTCTAGTCTCTCAGTTCAAGTTTAGGAAAGGCAGATATCGTCCTTTTGTAGCTTTCCATGAATATCAGAAACAAACAAATAATAGATTCTTAATCTGTATTATCTTCATAGAAAAAAAATTTGATCAAAATAATTTAATAAAATTATGGTATGAAGTTTATGATTTCAAAACATAGTCGGTGTGAATTTCTTCAAACCAGTTCTGAACTCCCTCTAATAATAGAAACAGAGCTTGAATTTTATATTTTTGTATTTTAATATTAAATAGGATTAATATTATTAAAATTTGTTTATTTCTTGTATAACATAAAGCTATGCCGCGGGTATATTAAAATCCGATTTTTAGCATTATAAACTCTAAGACTTCTCGCTCAGCCACCAGGGGCTATTATTAAAGTAAAATCGTGTTTAATATTTATTTTCTTCTCATACTAAAACTACTGCAAACGTTCCGCACTCTCAAAAGTCGCCACTATTTTCAAAGAGAAAGTTTTGCTACCATTCAATATTACAGATTATACAGAAATTAATTTATTATATAGCGTCCCCCAGTGACACAGCGGCATGTCTGCGGACTTACAACGCTAGAAACCGGGTTTCTATACTCGTGGTGGACAGAGCACAGATAGCCCATCGTGTAGCTTTGCGATTAACGACAAACAAAGTAAACATTCCTTAACCATGAGACATCTAAAACGGAAAAGGGTGTAAAAACTATAGAGAATATCCTTTTTTGTACAAGAGATATTTCCACCTCTTTCTATTCGAAACGAAATGATGATCACAATGCATTTTCACAACATTATTTTTTGCCTCAAGTAATGTAAGACAACATGATTACCTCATATAAAAATTGCCATTAAGCTATTTACAAAATGAAATAATCAGCTTGTGGATTTTTCTAATTCACTCTAAGTGAGATATGATTATGTACGTAAAAAGTATAGCAGCTCCAATAACTTAATTATTGGTCAATACAATACCTGTTTATTTATTTTCTAGGATCACTTGTCATGCACTGATTGTTTGCGTTTTTTATTTGATCGTTTGTATTTAAGTAACAAATTTCATTTTACCGTACCTTTTTTGTTTTACTGTACTTTTATCCTGAGACTAATGGTTCACTAAAGTACAAAATGCTGCTAAGGGATGGCGCCTCCTGACTAGTGTTAATATTCGAGTAAATGAAGCTTAATTTATTTAAAGCTGATAAAACTTGTATTATATAATATGTTAAGTTGGTTAACTTGCAAGATTAATGTACAGTGTAGAATAGCTTGAAATCATCCAGTAACCGTTGTAATTAGGGTAGAACAGGTTTGGGAAGTATATACTTACACAAAATAACACCATAGTATACAAGAACGTATATAAAATTACTTTATTACAAGTTACAACGTTTACATTAAGTAAGAATTGTTTCTAGGACAGGTACTTGCTGTAAAAACTGTAATAAAACGTACGTAAGTTAACTCAAAACGAAACTGTATATAAAATAGCTTTCTTGGAAGTTCTCCTTCTTCTTTTCTGGATATATCAAAATTTACATCTTCAGATACTTTTGATTTGGAACTCTAAAAAGAGCAAATATTGATGTTAAAGCATAAAGCATCTTTAACTCTAAAGCTATATAATTAGAACGAAGATGTCCCCAAAATGTACATTACAATACTTGCTACTGGAGATTTCTAATAAGCCAAAAAATTCTGTAAATTTCCAATAATCTGAACATCATTCAACTGTTTCCTGTAAAGAAGACATTTATTTAATTGTTTCTTGTAGCATCTTTCTGGTCATTTTAGTCATTACTATCCAATTATGAAACATAACTTCATCTTATTGACTTATTTACTATAGAGTTTTTTATCTTGTGTCGAGTTTGGAAAAAAATGGAAAAGAAAATAATACTGAGAGAGATTTATTTTTTTTGTTATTATAAATTAAATTACAGTTATTGGAATGAAATTATTTATTACAAATTAAAAATATTGGAACATTATAAACGTGTTTACACCATGTTAAAACATTTTATATTTATTAGCTATCAACCTTGTTTCTAAGACCGTCATTAGGCTTACTGAACAACGTGCAAATTGTAAGTATTCAAATATATCTGAAAATGGTTCTAGAAACTGAGTCGAAAGTTTGCCAATTAAAAAATATCGTGTTGCAAATCAGTTTGTAGGTGTCCCAATGGAAAAAAATACATATTTAATTTGTCAGGAAACAATTATAAGATTTGTAGTCATAACGACTTTCAACCTTTCGTTCCGCCATCTAGCGAAAGGACTATAAACTTAAATAATTCATCATTCTGAAAAAGGCTTAGAAAAAAGTATCGGTAGGTAAATATTGAATAAATTTTTATAAGAAAAGCAGAAAGACGTGGCTCGCATGTATTCAATATTTAGATTTACTAGTCAGATCAACCGAAACATACAGCTTTTAAAGTTACGCGTGAACTGCCCCACCCTAGGGTGTCTCAGCAGTAGTGATATAATTCGGAGTTCGATTCTTTTGTTGGGCACAACGCAGATAGCCATTGTGCAATTTTGCATTTTAGTCAATTAATAAAACAAACACATGAAATTCATATTTTAGTATTTTTACAAAAAATATATTAAATAACAGGTATGAAATAAAATGTTTGACAATTTTATGATTGGCATTGTGCAGATAAAATGTTTAAATATAAACAATGCACGTACCTTAAATGAAGAGATAAAAACAGAACCGCAAAAATGTGGTTAGTTGGAAAAGAAGAACAAAAACAGACTTAGTGCAAGAATAATATACAAAATGGTTCTGTATATATAAGTTAAAGATTTCTTTTTTTTTTCACCAGAGGTGAGATTTAAAAGAGAATCTGTAACGTAGAGGCCTAACGCATTCTTTGATTGGCCATACCCTTTGTTGTGGACTGCAGTTTCGCCTATTTAAGGTTTATCAACACAGCTTGAGTCAGCAGATCAAAGAAATACCACAAGGCCTGTTATAATGGTGAAGTGTATATAATATCTATGTGGTTTTGAGTCCGTTTTGATTCACCATATAGTAACCTAACTTAATACTCCTAACATAAGGCTTACATATGGAGCCTCCTATGATGTGTGAGAAATGTTTAAAAAACATGGCTTACGTAAAAAAAGCAAAAATCACAAAAACAAAAGTTCGGATAGATTTGTGAATGATCTTTTTGTGTCTTCGGGAGAGAATGATCTTTTTGTGTCTTCGATAGAGAATGATCTTTTTGTGTCTTCGAAAAAGGATCATTCTCTCCCGAAGACACAAAAAGATCATTCTCTATCGAAGACACAAAAAGATCATTATCTATCGAAGACACAAAAAGATCATTCTCTATTAAAGACACAAAAAGATCATTCTCTCCGAAGACACAAAAAGATCATTCTCTATCGAAGACACAAAAAGATCATTCTCTCCGAAGACACAAAAAGATCATTCTCTATCGAAGACACAAAAAGATCATTCTCTCCCGAAGACACAAAAAGATCATTATCTATCGAATACACAAAAAGATCATTCTCTATCGAAGACACAAAAACATAATTCTCTCCGAAGTCACAAAAATATCATTCTCTAGCGAAGACACAAAAAGATCATTCTCTCTCTCCCTTGTTTGCTGATTTTCTATGTATGACAAGACAAAATGTTCTACATTTGTATTTCACGAATCTGTTTCATTCCTACTATAAGTACTATCGTACTTATGATATATTAAACATTATAGTCTATACTGTTACTGACAGTAATATTTTAAAGAAATAATAGTGTCTATTTCAACTTTTATTGATGTATAGCTACCACAGTACACAAATGACCACATATATAGTAGCAGACAAATGCATGCTTGTTAATGGAAAAATGGTTAAAATATAGAGTTGGTTGGAATTTTCAGCTTGAATGTCAGGTACTTATACTCACGTGGGCTAAAAGCCAGGTCATGTACAGCCGTTTCTAATTTTGAACTACTCACCGGAAAGGACAGTCAGCACCACCCATCGCCATAAGAGGATTGACTGTCACTTTTATAATGTCACCACAGCTGAAAATGCGATATATGTTCAGCAGCATTAAGTCTCGAACTTCGGACCTTTCTATCGGCAGCTCGACATGTTAATCATTAGGCAAAACTTGGCTCATAAAGAATGAAACTTAACTAATTTCTATACTGCTGAGTTAGGACTAGTTTATACTTAAACTATAAATATGTAGATCTTTGCCACTACCTTCAGTCATCATTGATAACAAATATTATAAATTTTATAACATTGCTAATAAATATAACAAATTTTATAACATTGATGATAAATATAATAAATTTTATAACATTGCTAATAAATATAACAAATTTTATAATATTGATAATAAATATTATACATTTTATAATACTGATAATAAATATAACAAATTTTATAACATTGATAATAACTATAATAAATTTTATATCATTGATAATAAATATAACAAATTTTATAACATTGATAACAAATGTAATAAAATTGATGTCATTGATAAATATAACAAATTTTATAAGGCTTATCTCTCTTACAATTTGTTTCATTTCATAGAAACCGAAACTGCAGCTCCAAAACAAAGTGTTATAGCTTAGAACATGAGGTGTGAATTTAATCAAAATAATAATGAGATGGCTACCTTGACAGTGCTGTTACCGTAGCCAGAATGATACACTATAACCCTAGGATTATCAGAAGAATCTAATAACCCTTATTGATTTTTAATCACATTTTTCTAAGCTGTTTATGCAAAACATGAGATTGTTGGTTAGAGAATCTCCAATAATATAAGTGTCACACGAATATATATATATAAACAGAAATGGTTACAGGGTCTTCAATAACATTCGCGACACACAAGAAAAAAAAAACAAAAAACAGAAATACCATATCGTTAATATTGTATTTAATGTCACGAGTGACTGCTAGAGTTTCCTCTGTAATTAATATGAGAAAATGAATGGTTTTACTCAGTTTCTTTCTGGTCTGATTTTTTGCACTGGCAAAAACATTAAATAACTGAACATGATGTAATATGCTGGACCCCTCCAGTACTTACCAGTATATAACTGTCGGTGATTTCATTTTTACATAGAGGAAAGAATTCAAACAGAACTTTCAATAAACCCCTAACTGACGGAGACCCTACAGTCCTGACATATCGGCCTTTGACCTGAAACATAATCATGACCATAAAACTCATGGTTTTACTCATAAACTCATACACCTAACCTAACCTTACCTAAACCTAACCTAACCTTACCTAAACCTAACCAAACCAAACCAAACCTAACCTAACCTAAACCTAACCTTACCTAAACTTAACATAACCTTACCTAAACTTAACCTTACCTTACCTAAACCTAACCTAACCTAAACTTAACATAACCTTACCTAAACTTAACCTTACCTTACCTAAACCTAACCTAACCTAAACCT